TTTTTTTTATCACATTCATACTTTTAAACACATTGCGTGAAAAATTATTGTAATATGTGATGTGTGATAATAATTAAACAGGCATTTTTTAAAGGTGCATTCTGCAATGTATCTTGATTACAAATGCATTCTGCACATTTTTAAAAAAGTGCCTGTTTAATTATTATCACACATTCTCAGCTAGTTGAATTATTATATCTTCAGAAATATTAGAAGAAGAGGGAGATTTCACATTAAGGGTGATTTGAACAATAATATAGCCATTATGAAATGAATGCTTTCTAGGATGTGTTAAATCTAAGCCAGTGAGTATAAAGTGCTTACTTTGTAGCAAATTCTAGTAAACTAAAAACAAGTAAACTCCTTTATAATTTATTCTTTTGAACAGCCTAATCATATTAAGCCAGAATTTTTATTTCCCATTAATTCATTGCTACAAGTAGCAAAGACAAAAAATCATTTTCTGTCCCAAACTTAGTAAGTGAAATGTAAAACTTTGAACAAACTAGAGAAATCCGATTGCATAAAACAACTTCAATTCTCATTTAGAATAATATTGGAGTTCTTTTTAAGAACTTGGAAATGTTTGGGAATACTCTTTCATTTGTTAAAATATTTTAGATAAAGTGGGATTAAGAAGGTGATGGTAATTGCTATTTGACAGCTCACAATACGGAGTTTAGCAACATCTTGATACAGGATAGCAGGGGACCCCAAACTGGCCAAGGACCATCTGCCCAAATTCTTTACCAAATACTGTCTGTGGCTGGTTCACCCGCATGCACAACTGCAAGACTGCCCAGTTTAGGAAACAACAAAGGGAATTATTTAACAGATGGGAAAAGCAAGAGTTACTGAGGCCAATAATGGCCATTTACTTTACCCAAAGTCGGGTTCAGTCCTGCCCAATCTTGCACAGAGACCCTTGCGATGGCATCTTCCTGCCACTGAGGATGTGCAGCTCCTCTCCCAACAACAGGCCCTGTGTCCAAGATGGTGTCTTCCTACCCCTGCTGACCTGGGCACATGGCAGCCAGACTCCAGGCCAGGTTCCAACTCACAAAGACAACAGAGACCCAACAGGAGATGCTCCCAGAGCAGCAGGACCCTTCGGAGCAGCAGGACCCTCCAGCACAGCACCAGACAAGTGACATTTGTCTGCTCAGCAGTCACAGCCATCCAAAGGCCTCACACACACAGCTAAGCCAGGTGGCAGCTCTGGGCCTCTGCCTTCTTCTCAGCCAGGCTGTAATTGCAGCTGAAATCCACTGCCCCCCCCCCCAATTATATTAATTACCTATTCCTATGACTCAGTTTTCTTTCACTATAGGCACTGTAATTAAGGGTTAACCCCAAAGGGAACTGCAAAAAAATTCCAAAAGAGCCTTATTGCTCTAGGAGGCTTTTCAAGTTTCTCTGCAAAGGTCATATTAAACAGATGAGGTAAAAGTTTGAGAAAAATAAGACTACTGTGAGCCCAGTTGCAAATCCAGGTTTAAATTGCATTACACCTCTTTTCCCCAGACATCATGTGAAAAAGGCTTTTGAAAGGATGGACAAATTAAGATATTGTCAAGTTAGATAAAGGCACACGATTTGTGGATCTGTGAGGATATGTGACTCTTAGCATTTCTTGTGAATAACAAATAGAACCATTATATTCTATTTGTTCTCAGATGTTTCTCTAGTTTTTCAAAGTATTCCTTCAGCATTCTGACAGAAAAGGAACTAGGCTAAGTATTAATAATTTCAACAAATGTTGGAGAAATGAGATACCCTGAGCCATGGATGCCATGGTCTCAAGGAAAGAGATGTCTGACACATCATACCTGTTTTCCCCATCTGTAGGCCAACGCTGGAGAAAGAGACAAAGTGAGCACACACCACTGGCATTCAGAGATCTTCCCAGACATCCAAGGTGCTACTTGATTTCATTTTAATTAATGCAGTTGGGCCAAGTGAGAATAATACTTGAAGGAAATTATTTTCATCTGCTTCTTTAACTGTTAGATGATCCAGACTTCATGCTCCCATTGTTCTCTCCAAGCCCATTCTTCTTGCAGTCTTGGAAGTGTTAGCTACCACGGCACCATTAAGGAAAGAACAAGCATGCCTACTTGTTCTCTACTGCCTAGAGTACAGGAAATAGGGAAAGAAAAAAGCTGGTTATTCTCTCAGAAGCATCCTTCAGCCTTTTCTGCTCTGCAGAGCCCGACTCCTATAGAGTGCTCCATACATACTCAACTGACCTCCGGATTCCAGATGATTTGGCAAGGACACAGGCTTGACATAGGAGCACAGGAGAGACAATTGGACAATCTGCAGCTCCGTTTCAGTAGTTAGGTAATTCGACAATTACAGCTCCTCTCTGTGATATTCTGTCCAGGGCCAAGTACTGGCCCTACTTGCCCTGACCATTCAGCCCAATGGATGGTATTAGCTTTGCTGTGGCTACATCAAGTATTTTATCATCCCTGATTGGTTTCCTCAAACCTACCCACTACTCTGTAGATAGTCTGTTTGTTAATGACTCCTCAGATAAAGTCTCAGAGTTAAGCCATCTGTTTCTTGCCAGACTTCACAGACACAGATCACGGCAAGAATAATATGCCAGCCTGTGCAATTTGACTTCCATTCAGTAGACATTGGAGTTGTTCAGGTTCTTAGCTCAAAGTGTGTGGTCTGCGCACTGTACAACTATATGTGGAGTCCCACAATTCTTAAGAAATGGGGCAAGTGTGTGGAGTCCCACACTTCTTAAGAAAAATGCAAGGGAGGATCCTGGCTTGGGAGATAATTCAAGAATTATCAGATTATCATAGACTTTACTAACACTGGAAGAGGAAGTAAGGTTTGTCAGTTTTGTTTTGTTTTAAGATTTATTTATTTAAGCATACAGAACTGGGGCAGAGGTGCAAGGGCAGTGAGGGGATTCACCAGAGACAGAGGCAAGCAGAACAGGCAGACTGACAAAGAACTGCAAGGGGAGCAGCCGGCGAGACAGGAGAGGTCTGCTGTGCTATATGGGTCAGCTCTGGAGCTGGGGATCAAATTTGTGCTGAAGCAGCTAAGGCCAGCTTCTTAGTGCTGCCCTTTATCATGTTGCTCCATCAGGAGGGCCTGCTTGTCAGTTTCAAATCAAGACTCTTACAACTCCATCATGTCTGAGCTGACCAGTTCCTACTTTCTCTCACATTGCATCCTTTGTCGCCACCTGTGCCCGTTCACTTCAGATCCTCTAGCTTAGAAATCAGTTGTTATATGTTGTATTTGACCACATCTCAGTTCTCTTCTGTGTCCTAGGCAAATCCAATTACTGGACAGAAGAACCTAAAATGGATCTAGCAGACTCAATCTTCAAGTCAAAACACAGCAAGGATGAACTTTTTTCCAAATGTGGGTGAAGGTTAATGTGACCTAAAAACCAAATCTCCTCTGTTCCTCACCAGATGTAGGTGACCTTTTAGTGAATAAAAAGGTGAGCGTTAATGAAAATACCTACGTCACCAGGTGAGCTAACTACAGACACTCAGCTACTCTTTCAGGCCCGAGGATGAGGTCAATAATTGAAGGGTCATTGTCAAAGGAACAAAGAGAATGAAGAGTCATTTGCGAGCTGAGATGAGGCAGCTTCCTACCTACAGCTGCTTGAAAATGCTTCTCCCCTTTTCTACTACTGCCAGGGAACGGGGGACCTCTCAACATATTCATGGTTAGTGATGCCACACAACAAATCCTCACCTGGGCAGCACACTTTCCCTTCGAAGGCTGCACAGTTGAAGCACAGGATAAGCCCCTCTCCTCACCAGTCTCCAAATGTCTGACACACCCTCCTGTGTCCCTCCTTTGGATGTCATTCTCTCAGCCAGCTTCATGGTAACAACTTAATTGCTCCACTACTGACTCACAGACCCAGGAATACAAGGTCATGGCTGGACAATATGTAGACCTGAAAGTTGAGCCAAGTTAGTATGACACTGTGGTATGAAAAAAACATTAAATAAATAAATGTACCTCCTGGCATTTTATGAGAACTTCAACTCCTTGTTTTAGTTAGAGCTCTCAAAGGTTGCTTGCTCTGTCTGTTAACACTGGTCAAATTGGAAAATAGTAATTGTACCTCTCCCTTCTCTACCCTCCCCCACACCACTTCTTTCATACAATGCAATTATGAATTACTCTCTGACTTTAGTGCATACTGTACACCAAGCACCATTCTAAGAACTTCACTTGTATCACTTTATGTCATTTTTATAGCTGGAGAAACTTAGGTCAGAGATATAGGTGGCAATAAATATCTATTACGATTATCTTAATGATTACAATTTGCATGTTTCCTGAGTAGTCTGTAATAGCATTAAAAAATTACGGAAGGGCAAGCTGCTTAATGATCCTTTTGAATTAATTATAAAGTGCTAGTTACTGAATGCCATCTAAAAATCCCAAAATACAGACAAAAGAGGAAAAAGAATTTAAAATTATAAGGCTGCCGTGAAATAATCGTTTTTTAACCTATTTTTTTAAGTACAAACTTAAAAGTTATCAATTTTGTTACATTTGTTGTAAATTTAGCACAAATGAAATTCCTATGTACCTGGAAAATAGTTATTCTTTTAAAAACCTATTAAGAATTTGTAACATAACTTTAAAAAAAATCACAAACACCCTACCTTACTTATTTTAAAGGTGCCCAGAATTTAATGCTGTATTTAAATAAATGGAACTTCTTAACAATGTAAAATACGTTTCTTTTTAAACTATGGCTTTGTTCTCTATATATCAAATGTTCTACACACCAATAAAGGAATCAACATTACTTTTTTTAAATAACATCTTTAATTAAAGTTTTTGCAAAGGTAAAATATTAAACTTAAAATAGGTCTTAGTACATCAAAATACTAAGTTCTCTAATTGTATCCCAAGATGGTCTTTAAAACATAATATCCCATATATCACAGAAGAGCAACTTTGATCTGCAATTGTACAGAATGAATTTTACAAACATAATAAATATATTTACGCCCTTACACATAACAGTATGTACAACAGCAGTTGACAATAGTAGCTCAGAACAGCAAAAAGGATTAGACCCTCCCCCAAATTGTAGCTGTAGATTGGACCAACTAAAGAAACCTTGACTGAAATAGTAGTTACTAACAAAGTAGTTCTTCCCTTAAAAGAGAAGAAAAGGTTTCTCTTGTTCCTCAAAATAAACTATTAGGCTCGGTGTACTCTTCCTTAAGCCATAGAAAATGACAAAAGATAGACTAAGGCAGGCTTAAAAAGGGAATAGAAACTTCAGAATAATTTCCATAGCATAATAGATTAAAATGCAAAACAGCCTAACATAAACCCATGAAGAAATACATAAAACTTTTTTAACCAATGAATTCAAAATCTGAAATAGCTGATTCAGACAGATAGGTGATAGACATATATGAAATAAAGTGAAAATGTACAAAGATGGATCAATAAAATATTACATTGCACAAAAGCTCAAAAAAGTTCAAGATGAAGTAATCTGAAAATATAGGAAATTTTCTCAAGTGGAAGAAAATGCTAGGTTATAAAGGGACCTCCCAAAAGGAAATTATGTCTATTTTCCTATACAAGGCATATTTTTACCTTCTGAAAAGAATGGTGACATTATTGCTATAAGATAATCAAAAGTTACTTTGAAGGAGATAACCCTTTTCATTCTTCCATAAAAGCCAGAAAAAAATAGAAAACCAAGTCCTTGATTTTCACTATAGCAAAAGAAAATCTTTATACAAAAGGTATATTTTTGTGTTCTTGCTTTCTAAAACCTGAATCTATTAGAATATGCTCTTCAAGAATACATTTTAATCACTATACACACTGCTCAAATCTTGATGTATTCCTAGAAGAATAACATCAAGGTGGCTTTGATTTTAAGAGGCAACAATATAAATGTTACAATGGCATTTAATTAACAGAAAGAAATGTGAACATTTAAAAAAATATAAAAGTCCAATATAAAGATCCCCCTCATATAACAGACATTTCACTCCAGAAACTAATTGCACATTAAAGAATCACTTTAGCCAAATGTGGTACTCCACAGAAATTAAATGTGCTCTCAGGCATTTAAAGGGTCTGATTATCCAAATCACCACCAAGAGAACAAATACTGAAAGGCACACATTTCCACATTTTACCTAGTCTGTTACAGACCACTGTTGATTAATGTTTTTTTTTTTTTTTTGAGTAAAAGGTGCCATCAACATCTGTGCAAATCTAAACAAATCCTCTTCTGAAATCTTTCCTTATTTCATTAATACCAAGTCTGAACTATCTCCCTTCTATGAATAAACATGCTGTTTTCATTCTAAGATTTTGAAAGTGGGAATCCTTACCTTTTCAAAGGAATGACACTTTTATGAAACCTAATGAAATGATTTGTTAAATACAATGTTAAAAACATGATTAGGACTTCAAGTACAATAAAAGGTAAGTGGCATAAAGCAAGCCACTACAAAAAAACTAAAACATGCTATTTGATTAAAAAGGAACACGATGCAGTAATATATAAGAGCACAATTTGGTATGCAGTATTGTTTGGACCGGCTTTCAGAAATTTCACAGGTAAAAGAAAAGCATTTGCCAAGTATGCCATAATTAATATGCAATACACAGATGCAAATACAAATGATTATTTCCTGCTTCATAATAACCCTAATGAGCCACTCTGAAAGCAGTGGTTGTTCGTGTTTGAAAATGGTCTAAAAACAGGCCAGTATATAACTCTACTATGAATGCAAATGTTCGTCTATATAGAGGGCCCAAAAGATGAGCTGAATATCATATAGTAAGCCAAGGTTCAGTAGCATAAAAACTACTAGACAGCCAAAGGGTTTCAATCAACACTGCAGCACTGCTAAACTTTTATAGGTAGTTTAGGTCATTGACTTCTTCATTGGGTAAATACAAACTTGCTAGGATCTATACTGTAGGGCAACTAAACAACAGGACTTCTGTGATTTCACTCTCTCCCTTCTCTTCTCACAGTCTCATTAATAAAAGCAAAATACTCTGCTCTGAGAGTAGTGGAGTAAACAAATAAATCTCCCCTCTAAAAACTAAATTACTGTAGTAAAAAATAAAAACCGTCTCACCAATTATAACATCTAAATAAAACTTTTAACTACTAGCTTGCTAGAAATCACCATTTACACCAAAGTTCGGAACATAAGTTAAAGGGACCAACGGCTAAATGAGGTGGGAAATAGTCAAGAAAAAAAATTTCATTAGTTTTTTGAGAAGTTTAAAGATCTGTGTTAAAAACAATATATAATAATAGCTCACAGTTTTTCTTTGCAATGTACTTTAAAGTGTTTCTATGTTACTTCTGGAAACACAAAAAGTAAATAAAAGACAAAAATGGAAGACTAGAATAAATCAATATACAAGTAACTTAAACACATGTGAATTGTCAAGATAAACTAGAGTCAGTTGTAAGAACACAGAGATGAAGACAAGTGTTCTTACAGTTCTCCAGGCAACTAGCTCACACTGAACACAGCAGTGCCAGATTGCTCTTTAGAGCCTTTTAGAGAATACAGAGCTATGCATTCTTAAGATACATATTAAATTTCTATTTTTAAAATACAAGTCAGATTTCTAAGCTTTCTTCCCAATGTGCAAACCGGAGCCCACGTTTATTACAATGGCCTAGAAGAGCCACCAAAGGAGAGGTAAATATGTGTTAGTGGCCCACTCCCTCTACTCCCCAAAATTTCCCCATCAAATTACAAAGTTGTATTTTTCAAAATTTGTTCAATAATAGATTTTGAAAGTTTTTACTAGTAAACACAAGAAACTTTTATAATTACTAAATTGTTTAATAAAAATTTAGGTCCTTAACAACTGCTCTTGCTTCAATCAATGCACAGAATCTGATGTTTAGCTTAAAGTGGCTAAGCATGTGTATAAGCTTATACTTCAGTCCAACAGGGAAATCCATTCAGAAGTATACAATTTTAGCAAAGATGGTATATTTGTGAAGCAAAACCTATTCCTGTTGAGTATGTTCGTGTCTATGTGTGTGTGTTTTAGGAGTGGGACTAAAAGAAAATCTTTCTGCAAGGAAACTGAAGTTGTCATTTTAATTCTGACCAACTTAGATGGGATCCAACTCTTTAAATTACATTTAATAAGTACAAAAACCTAATTAAAATAAATATCCAGTCATGGGTTAAATTTTATCTCCAAACTGTGATCACTGTTTACTTCCTTTAATTCTTAAACAGATGTTTCATAAAGCAGGGAAGGAAGAGGTATATAGTACTGAGAGAGAGTAGTAAGTAAAAATATTTAAGACCTATTATGAGAGTTGAAATTGTTTCCTTATACAAGTGAATTAAAGTTCAACACCATAATTCTTACCCTTTTGTAAAAAGCTTACAGGCAATTTTTAGCAAATATAACCACATACAATAAGCAGTTTCAATTCCATCTATCAAAAGGGAAGTTTCTTCAGTTCATTCCAACAAGTATCTTCTGATTGAACCCAAGTTGGAAGAAGGAATATAGACAAAGCTTTACATGCTAATTAGCGGTGGCAGGTACCTGTATTTAAAATCGACAATTATGGTTTACCTACACAAAACCCCAACCTCCCACCCTCAACAACCCCAGGTGCTACAGTTCCATGGCTTGCCAGTTAGAAGTAGTGTCTATGTTGTCAAGGTTTCTTTGTTCCAGTAGCTTTGCTTCTACTGCTCTTTTCTGACATGCAGAAATTAAGTTTTGGTTGGTGTGTGTCCCAAGTTTGAAACTGTCCACTTTAAAATGTTTTAAGTTTCTTTTGTATTACTTATAAAAGAAAAGACGCATCTCTTCACCATTCTGCATCTCCAATGGCTTTGGAAAATATATAATCTCTTCCATTGAGATTCATAATGCCATCTTTGAGATGAAATTTCCATTTGTTTTTACTTCTGTGTATCTAAATAAACAAAAATATGAGATATGATCAAAACACAATAAACAAAAATATGAGATATGATCAAAACCCATTCATACACCAAAAAATTTATTATTAAATTGCAATTTTTTTAATGAAATATGATTTATATGACATTGTGTTAGTTTCAGGTATGCAATGATTTGCTATTTCTATACATTGTGAATTGAATAATCACCTAAGCCTAGCTAATATCCATTATCATCCATAGTTAAATTTTTGTTATGAGAACTGTGATCTACTCTCAGCAATTTTCAAATATGTAATGTAATACTGTTAACTACAGTTACCATGCTGTGCATAATATTCCTAAGACACTGATTTTATAACTAGAAGTTTGTGCCTTCTGACAATCTTCATTTCTCTTACTGCCTCAACCCTTATATCTCTGGTAACCATCATCTATTAATAAAGTTAATGCTTTAGATTCTACTTGTAAACATAATCATACAATGTTCATCTTTCTCTACCTAGCTTGTTTCACTTTCATAATGCCCTTGAGGTCCATCCAGGTTGAAATAGTGAAGAGTTCCCCTTTTTAATGCCTAAATAATATTCCATTGTGTGTCCATATACACGTATCACACACTTTCTTTATCCATTCTTCCAGCGATAGACAACAATTATTTCCCTATCTTGACTACTGTAAATAATGTCATAATGAACATTTAGTTAAATGTTTTAATTTTCTTTGCACAAAAGTTTTCTTTACGGGCTCATCATTTTTAATTTCTTATTTTTTCGATAATAGCTATTTTTACAGGTATAAGACAAACTATTGCTGTTCATCTTACTGTGGTTGTGATTTGCATTTTCCTGGTTATTAGTAATGTCTTAACACTTGTTTATGTAACTGTTGGCCATCAGTCTTTCTTCTTTCAAAAATGTCTATTCAAATCCGCTGCCCATTCTTTAACCAGTTGGTTTTTTATTATTTGCTTTTTATTAATGTGTTTTAGACATTAATCAGATATGACTTGAAAATATTTTGCTAAGTTGCCTTTTCAATTTGTTGATGGTTTCATTGCTAAGCAAAAATGTTTTAATTTAATGTAGTCCCAAAGGTGCTTACTTTTGCTTTGGTGTCAAATAATTTTTTTTTTA